ATAGGGTTTCTAAAGATATAAATCCTTATGGAAGCTGACTCTACCCTCTTTCTCCAACAGAGCAGTTGGTGGGTTTGAACCACTGACCTTTCAAGTAGCAGCCAAATGGTTAACAATTGTGTCCCCGTTTAATTGTCCCTCAGTGGAAGCAATGTTCTGGGTGGAGAAAACCGAACCAGCTAAATCTTTGCCCTGCAGCAACCTCTATCAGGCTTTGCAGCAGTGCAGGTGCTTCCATTCTATCAAACTCAAACTATAAATCACAATTCTTGTATGATGTTACAGAACTGGCCAGCAAAGAAATGCAATGGGGAAACATGGAGGGGCGATTCAGTAAGAGAACCAAGAATCATGAGATTTAGGCTCTAGTTCAAGGGTTTTTATTTGAATTTGGGGTCTTCAGTAACTTCAATAAGCTTCAACAACACAGTTTCCTTGGGTTGAAGTTTGTATCAACTGGTAACAGCAATGCTTATTCTATTCGACTTCTTAAACTTGTGGCAGGACTGGAGAATGGTAAGGGATGGGCAAGCTTTGGAAGCATATGAGAAAGGAAGCAGTATGAGATGTTATATGAAAATATCACATGGGGCTAAGAACTTTAGCACTAAGAATTCTTGGTTATAAATGACAGAAACTGCACCCATATTAGATGAAACTTTTAGAAAAGGGATCTTATCTGTGTACATAATTGTAATGGAATTCGTGAGTGGGTGCAGCTGGTTAAGCATTGAACTACTTACCAAAAGGACTGAGCTGCCAACCCACTCAGAGGACAAGTCCAGCATCACAGCCTTTATAACTGGAAAAAGTAGCTCTACTCTGCACACATGACAACAACTAATAACAACAATATAACTAAAGGGGCTAATAGTTGATGTTGCTTCAGGTGAAACTAGATTTAGCACAATAAATGCAATCAAGAACCTGTTTCTTAACTCAAACACCCTCTCCTCTGTATGATGCCTTCCTTCTTACATTCCACAATGCAAGAAGGCTGGAACAGGTATGGCCTTTTGTTCACTCACTTCAAGCCTGCTGGGAAAGTATGCATACCTTTCTTCCTGGCCACACAAGCAAAGTCCTACAGTTAACTTTAATTGAGCCTGATTAGTTTGGCATGTGTCACAAGCTTATACTGAACTTAACACTGTGGCCAAAGAATGGGGTTGGGTCGGGTCTAGGGATTGGGGCATATCATGAATCAATAAAAGGAAGGGTAATTGACCATATATATGTTAAGTATTAAGGTAGCAGGTGGATATTGGGCCTCTCTACTCAAGTACTCCCTCAATGCAAGAACACTTGGTTCTAATAACCTGGAATTCTGTGATGCTCACCTTCACAACAGCATCACTGAAGACAAAATGGGTGCATAAGCAAATATGGTGAAGAAAGCTGATGGTGCCTGGCTATCAAAAGATATAGTGCCTGGGGTCTTGAAGGCTCGAAGGTAAACAAGCGGCCATCTAGCTGAGAATCAACAAAACCCACATGGAAGAAGCACACCAGTCTGTGTGATCAAGAGGTGTTGATGGGATCAAAGACCCAGAACAAAAAATCATATCAATGTGAATGGGGTGGTGGGGGTGTATGGAGTGGAGACCCAAGGCTCATCTGTAGACAATTGGGCATTCCCTTATAGAAGGGTCACAAGGAACAGATGAGTCAGTCAGGGTGCAGTATAGCACCTATGAAACATACAACTTCCCTCTAGTTCTTTAATGCTTCCTCCCCTCAGCTATCATGACTTCAATTCTACCTTACAAATCTGACTAGACCAGAGCATGTACATTGCTACAGATAAGAGCTCGCAACACAGGGAATCCAGGACAGATAACCCCCTAAGGGGAAGGTGGGAGGAGAAAGAGGGAATTGATGACAATGATCTATATATGACCCCTTCTTAGTGGGGGGGGAACAGAAAAGTGGGTGAAGGGAGACAACAGTTGGTGTAAGACATGGGGGTGGTGGTTATAAATTATCAAGGGTTCATGAGGGAGGGAGGGTTGAGGAGAGGGAAAACAAGGAGCTGATATCAAGGGCTTACGTAGAAGGAAAATGTTTTGAAAATGATGAAGGACACATGTACAAATGTGCTGGACACACCGTATGTATGTGTGTATGGTGATAAGAGGCCCCAATGAAATGATTTTTAAAAAGAAAAGAAAACTAGATGAAGGAGAATGATATAATATAGTCAAAGCCCTTCAATTATCCGCTGTTGCTATTCTTAGGTGCCATTGAGTTAGTTCTAACTCATAGTGACTGCATGAAAAACACAATGAGGCATTCCCTCATCCTGGGTCACTTTCACAACTGTTGTGTTTGAGCCCATTGTTGCAGCCACTTTGTCAATCCATTTAGTCAAGGGTCTTTGTGTTAGTCTGGGTACTTTAGAGATACAAATCCACAGAAACTCATGTATATGAGTTTTTATAGAGGTTAAGCGCACATCAAGAAAACATCCCAACCCAGTGCTGCCCAAGCCCACAAGTCCAACATTAGCCCATATGTCTGACACCAATCCACAAAGTCCTCCATCTCACAAAACACACACTATGACACCGACTGCAGGAGGAAAGCCAAATCAGTGAATATATAAGCCACTCAGCGCAGACTGCTCCAGCACCCAGGGCTGCATCGGGGTAGGTCCATGGGGCTTCTCCTTGGGGATTTCTTGCAGGAAGTGAGCCTTGCCTGCTGAAGCAGGGAACTGGCTAAGGCAGCTACACCCTGGTCTGACCATCAGAAAGCAAGGGACCCGAGAACTGGAATGGCGAGGCTCACCAAGCTATTTATCCCTCCGCCCTTCAATTAATCTCACATGTGTTTATTGGCCAGGTTGGCACAATAAACTACCTCTGTCTTCCTCTTTTTCACTGCCATTCTATTTTCCCCCTCCCAACTGTATTGGACACTTTATTCCATTTGTAGGTGATGAAATGCTTAAGGATTCACTTCAGTTGCTGGCATCACTAAGAACATGGTTGCTCCCTTTAGTTAAACTGAAAATTAAGCCTTTGGATTCTTGTCTCTATTCTCTTCGGATCCCTGTAGTTTAGCTGCAGCAGGCATCTGGAGACAGCCTCACACGGTAGCCATCTCTAGCTTCTCACATGGCTCTAGCTTCTCCGGGAGCACTACAAGGTGAATTTAGTTTACTGATAGTCAACTAAGAGGCACTCTCAAGTGAGTTTAAATGCATATTTTTAGACAAGCTACCAGACATTTTTCTTTTTTATTTTCCTTAAAAAAATTTTTTTTATTAGGGGCTCATATAACTCTTATCAAAATCCATCTATACATAAATTGTGTAAGGCACATTTGTACATTCATTGCCCTCATCATTCTTAAAATATTTGCTCTCCACCTAAGACTGTGGAACCAGCTCCTCATTTTCTCCCTCCCTTCCTGCTCCCCCCTCCCTCATGAACCCTTGATAATTTATAAATCATTATTTTGTGATATCTTGCCCTGTCCAATGTCTCCCTTTACCCACTCTTCTTTTGTCTGTCCCCCAGGGAGGAGGTCACACGTAGATCCTTGTAATCAGTTCCCCCTTTCCAACTGACCCTCCCTCCTTCCTTCCAGTATCACAACTCAGACCACTGGTCCTGAAGGGATTATCCTTCCTGGATTCCCTGTGTTTCCAGTTCCTATCTATACCAGTGTACATCCTCTGGTCTAGCCAGATTTGTAAGGTAGAAATGGGATCATGATAGTGGAGGAGGAGGAAGCATTTAGGAACTAGAGGAAAGTTGTATGTTTCATCGTTGCTACGTCGTGCCCTGACTGGCTCATTTCCTCCCCGAGATCCCTCTGTAAGGGGATGTCCAGTGGCCTACAATTGGGCTTTGGGTCTCCACTCTGCACTCCTCACCTCATTCACTATGATATGATTTTTGTTCTGATGATGCCTGATACCTGATCCCTTCAACACCTTGTGATCGTACCGGCTGGTGTGTTTCTTCCATGTGGGCTTTGTTGCTTCTGAGCTAGATGGCTGCTTGTTTACCTTCAACCTTTAAGACCCCAGATACTATATCTTTTGATAGACGGGCACCATCAGCTTTCTTCGCCACATTTGCTTATGCACCCATTTGTCTTCAGCGATTGTATCAGGGAGGTGAGCACCCAATGATATGATTTTTTGTTCTTTGATGCCTGATAAATGATCCCTTCCACACCTCGTGATCACACAGGCTGGTGTGCTTCTTCCATGTGGTCTTTGTTGCTTCTGAGCTAGATGGCTGCTTGTTTACCTTCAAGCCTTTAAGTCCCTAGATGCTATACAGTGAACCCTCGCCACTTCGCGCTTCGACTTCCGCGGCTTCACTCTATCGCGGTTTTTGCGTAACAGCGCATGCAATCATTACTGCCACTGATTGGCTCATACTGTACACGCTTCTGTCTGCATCGCTACGTATCGGAGCTACGTATCAGATGCATTTTTGCTTTTGTACTGTGTACTGTAATTGTTTGCGAGTGTAATGGTGACTAAAGGGTGTTTTTTCATGTCCTCTATGCTCTAACTACGAAAATATTTGATTTACAAATAAGGAATCCTACTTCGCGGAATTTCATTTATCACGGTAGGGTCTAGAACCGATTAACCGCGATAAACGAGGGTTCACTGTATATTTTGATAGCCGGGCACCATCAGCTTTCTTCACCACATTTACTTATTTAACTGCTTTGTCTTCAGCGGTTGTGTCAAGAAGGTAAGCATCATAGAATGCCCATTTAGTAGAAGAAATTATTTTTGCATTGAGGAAGTAATTGAGTCAAGGCCCAATGTCCATCTATTACCTTACTACTAAATCTATAAATATATATATTTTAAAATGCCTCCACTCCAAATAAATCAAGGTCAAAAGAGCTCACAATGACATCAGTTCTGTTTGTCTAAGTACTGAGATCCTATGCATGAACAGCAGCAGTTAGGTTGAGAGGCAATCGGTTGTGAGTTGCTCCCTGTGTTAACCTGTCTCCATCTCTCAGCCATCCTTAAAGGAGCTCATATACAGGGTCCCACCATCCTCACGGTAGTCCAGCAGAGCAACCATGCCATCTGGATTCATGTTCTCACCAAGAACGAACTGGTAGTTTTTGAAATTTGCAAGAATGTGCTTGATTTGTTCTGCCGCCCCTGTCATAAAAGGCTTTACTCTTTCTGGTTTCTGCTTTCCAAATTTGCCTTTGATTAATTTCATGTAGTCTTTGATGTACTTCTTGCTGGTTTCCTGCAAGTGATGGTTCATGACAATATCAACACCAGTGACCACTGTGCTTTCTGTTCCATTAGCATCGGGGCCTTCAGCTGAGGCGTTACCACCAATGAGTGAGTCATTGATGTCACCTTTGGTTCTACTGACCATCTTCCTCTCCCCTTCCAGACACAGCTCGTCTTCGATCTCCCAGATCTTGTAGATTTGGGAAAATATCTCATCATGGCTGATGAGGTCTTTGTAGATAAGCATGATGGTGGCTAGAGGGAGACAGCAGTGGCGCTACCTTAGGAGGAACCCAGAACTCTGAGCGAGCGCGCACTGCCATTCTACTTTATCAAGCGTGATGTTCTTTTTCAGGAACTGGTCTCTACTGATAACATGTCCAAAGAATGTGAGATAAAGGTTTGCCACTCCTGCTTCTAGGAAGCATTCTGGTTGTACAGATTTGTGAGCTCTTTTGGCAATCCATGGAACTTTCAATATTCTTTGCCAGCACTACAATTCACTAGAAAGATGGAATTGAACAGAGAGGGATTCTTTAGCCTCCAAATTTCTATATCTTTTATCAGTTACTGCCAGCAAAACAACAACAACAGCAACAACCAAACCAATCTCTTCAAAGCAGAATCACCTTGGAGGCTTGGAGATAACATGCTTTCCCCTCTCACTTAGGTGTGCATTTTATATCTCACATTTTCTAGCAAGGACCCAAACTCACCAATCATTTTCTTTTGATAACAAGAGTGTTCAAGGTTGTCACAAATGTCTTCCTGCTCTCTCCATCACTTGAACACAATTGTCAATTAACCAAGCACTTAATGGGAGATAGTTTGTGTTTTTGTTTGTATTTTTACTTAAATTCACACGAAGTCTTCTTTTTCTCCTAACTTTTAATGAGTCCAGGTCTTAACTTCCCACCTAGAGAATGACTTCCTGGAAGGCAAAGACTATATTTCATACTTTTTTGCCTAATACTGTATTCTAAAAAATGATTTGGTGTTTTTCTTTACATTAAATGGGCTAATTAAACCTTCTTCATCAGAGAGCTACAGACTCTAATAACAAAAATATCCTTTAAAGGATATTTAACTACCACTGGGTCTTTAGGTGATAACCCATTTTGACATGAAAACCATAACTTTGGGAAATTACTTGATGGTTCTGGCATGAAATTGTAGCTATTCAAATATACTTGACTAAGATGGCAAAAATTTTCCCAGGACCAGGGCAGAGGTAACAATTCAGTATCCTAGTCTTCTATTAATCTAGTTGTGCTCTAGAATTTATCTCAATATATCACTTAAGGAAGGCATTGTTATTTAAGATGTCGGCCTAGAATGAAACCTGTTTGTTATCTTGCAGTTTTGGTTTGTAACTTGAGTGGTTGCCTTATGTGACTGAGTTCAGAACTTTAAGAGACATGCTCGAGGAGTTGGAAGGGATTAAAGAGATATTTTTCCAAATAGCTAAAGCAGTAAAGTCAACACAGTGATTTGGAGCAATAGAAGACAGGGCCCAGCTACCCTCATAACTGATATTTAACACCATATGCTCTTGAATGTCAAATTCAGGAATGACAAGTGTCCAGTCTGTAGGGCTTCCAAGACTGTAAGTCTTGATGAGAACAAACAGCCTTTCTTTCTTCCACAGATCCACTAGTGGGCTTGAACTGCCAATCTTGTGGTTAGCCGTCCAATGCTTATTCCACTGTGCCACCAGGGATCCTTAGGAGTCCAATCTCTCATAGTATCCAATTCTCCTTGATATATAAAAATAGATAAGATATTATAAGATGATAAGATTTATATGATTGAATATTTACCAATATTAATACCATATTTCAAAAAATTTATAACTCTGATCAAGTTACTTCAGTCTTCTGAGCATCAGTTTTCCCATATGCATTATGATGTTAGCATGTGTTTCCTAAGAATGTTGGAGGAACGAAAGAAGAGTATGTGAGTAAAGCCTAGTATGAAAAAGATATTCTATGCATATATGATTGCCTCACTTTGTTGCTGAAATTCCATAGTTCTATGGCTACAAGAAACGTAATTAAATTTTCTGCCCCACCTTTTGTTTCTATAAAATGTAGAAGTGGAGTGGACAACTGAGAGCATTCTTTCTGTCTCTAAAATTCCCTGTGTGTAAAAGTCTAATGTCAAATCATCTGCTAGTCTAATAACCCAGGCCAGGCTCCTCTTGCTTAAGAGAAAATGAATTTCCTCAGTGGTGCCAATCATCTTGATTCTTGTTGATTGTACCAACTACTAAGGACAGAAAGAACGCTTGTTTAAATAAAACTAAGAAATCTATAGGCACTGAATAAAGCACATGGTAGATGCTCTTGTCACCCATTAGCAACACCTATTAAGCTTATAGAGAGGGTGACACTTCACAGAGAAAGGTTGAGATAGTCTCACTGCACCTGGATGAGTTTAGCACCTTGAATAATAAGCTGCATTGGTGAGAACTGATATCTGACAGTAAGGGAGGAAATATTTGAAGAATAGCATTGGAAATGCCCGGAGTCTTCCTAGGTGTCACCAGCTGTCTTGTAAATGTGTGAAAGCCTCAAAATGGTGTTGGGCAGAGCCCTGGAAACTTCCCACCATATGTCACAGACTGTTTCGCACAGTGGAAGAAGGGAGAGACATGTCTGAACAATGTTCAAGTGACCAATTATATCAATTAGGATTGCGAGTGCCTCCAAGGTTCTGAGACAAGACCAAAAGATCACATCCTTTTCTGGTTGCTAGTTGCCGTGGAGTCAACTCCAATCTGAAGTAGCCCTAAGTGTGTCACACTAAACTCCGGCCCATTAGGTTTCTCAATGGTTGATTGTTGGGAAGTGCATCGCCACACCTTTCTTTCAAGGTGCCTCTGTGTAGACTTGAACCTCCACACTTTTGGTGAGTAGCCAAGTCCATTAACCATTTGCACCATCCAGGGATTTAACATTCCTATCCTCACCTAAAGATGCTGGTGCCTTGGATTTATTTGTTTGTTTGTTTATTTATTTTTAGGCTCTTTATTTTTTTAATTAAAAAAAACTTTTATTAGGGGCTTTTACATCTCTTATCACAATCCATATATTCCTCCAATGTGTCAAGCACATTTGCACATATGCCGCCATCATAATTTTCAAAGCATTCTCATCCATCTTGAGCCCCTGATATCAGGTCCCATTTCTTCCTGCTCCCTCCCCGACCCACCCTCCTTCACGAACCCTGGATAAGTTATAGATTATATTTTCCATATCTTTTTAAAAAATCAATTTATTGGGGCTCATAAAATTCATCACAATACATAGATCAATTGTGTAAAGCACATCTATACATTT